TGATAGAATTACTGCATCATCAGCATACAATAATAAGTTAATATGTCTTTGGGCTAATTTAGGGGGGTGAAATGTAGAATTACATAAATAAGACACTAATGAGTTTATATAATAATTAAATAAAACTGGGGCCAGTACACTTCCCTGTCTAACAGGGAGGAAAGGAGAGTCTTAAGAAATCACAGGTGGTTCTAAATTGAATACACCTTTGTCTGAAGAAGGCAAGTTAATTGAACAAAAAAACCTTTACCCACAAGTCCAGCTGAATAAACAATATAAGTACACTCATGACTATTGCAGGAAAGACCAACTAGGAATATCTAAACCCCTGGGTTGATTCCAAAACATCAGTCCAAGCACAGCAAATATTATTTATGGACTCACCCAGTGCCATCTAGATCACCGTGTCCTTTTAGAAAATGTCAGAAGAGATTAAGACATTTGGTGACAGTTGTAACTATGGAGAAACTATATCTCAGTTATAACTATCAATCAGCCAATCAAAGTTTATTGATTAGCCCTTAGACCATATCAAAATACAAAATTTCAGACACAAAATATTAATAAAACCCTATGTAAAACCCTATGTAAAAACAAATTAAGTAAAATAGAAATAAAATACAGTGATTAAATATACAAATGAGGGAGAGTACAAATCATATTTCCAGGTCACCCCTACAATTTACCCCAATCAACCCCGTGTATGCAGATCTCAACTGTATTGTTTTACTCAAGTACCGAGCTGTATTATATGTTATTTTCTAATTCTGACCACACATTAAATATGTTTTAATATGTAGTTCCCAGTGGGTCATTCGTTTAATGTGTGGTCCAAGATACATATCTCTCTTCTTCTTATACAAATTACAATCAAATAATATATGTGCAAAGTCTTCTATCTCTGACGTTCCACAAATACAAATGTGTTCGTTAGAAGGAATTTGATGAAACTTCCCATATCTAACCATTGTATCAAGCTGGTCAAATTTTGCTTGGGTAAATACCTCCCTAAAATGTTTTGGCATTCATATCCTTAAATAGTTGGCAGTTTGGAAAGTTTGTTTATATTGGCTCAACCATTTCAAACTGCCAACCTTACTAAGGGTGGTTATATCTTTCTGTGCTTCTATTTCAGAGATTCTTTGAGCAGCTCTCTTTTTGACTTGTTCTCCCATTGCACAAGAGACAGGAAGACCACAGCTTTTTATATAATTTGTCAATTGTATAATCCAGGAGGTCTGTAATTGGGATTTTATCTGTTCTAGTAAACACAACTTTGGAAGTCTGTCAGTCTCCATTTCATTAATTTTACACCAATAGTTATATGCTCTGATTTTAGACAGTGAGTAGATTGTATAAATTCCCAGTTCGGCTCTAACTGCAGCGGCTAAGGTCCTTTTATCTACACCCAAAATGCTTCTCAGGTGCTGGGATTGTGTTTGTTCTAATAATGAAGTGGAATTTAAGCCCCAGCGTCTGCTCCGTATAAGAGCATAGGAGTAACCTTAGCTTTATACACTTTAATTATTAGGACTAGGGAACCTGGATAACTATGATTTTTTAATTTAAGCAGTAGATTCAAACATGCCCTTGCTCTAAGTGAGCTCCATTGATGATGACAAACCCAAGATCCAGTCTCAGAGAAAGTTAGCTCTAGGTAAGGAAAGGTGTTAACTTATTCAAGTGGTTCACCATCTAATTGCCATCTATGTCTCTGATGTAGTTTTCCAAACACCATAATTTTTTACTTTGATTTATTAATGATTAGAGAATTATCCTGACAGTAGGAGCTAAATCTTCTTAACAGCCTACGCAGTCCTACTTGCAAATATGATAATAATATTATATCATCGGCATAAAGCAAGATGTTGCAATATGTGTTTAGGACCTTAGGCATATGTGCCGTGGGATCCTTCATTAATCCTGGTAAGTCGTTGATGTATAAATTAAATAATAATGGTGCTAGTATGCACCCTTGTCTTACCCCTTTGTATGTATTGATCCTATTTGTCATAGCTCCATTAACCCCAAACCGCACTTTCAAACAGGTACTTGTATAGAGCGCTTTAATCAAAACCAGCAGTCTGGCTTCTAATTTGAGAGCAGTTAGTTTACTCCATAATACTTCTCTATTTACTGTGTCAAATGCTGAAGTAAGGTCTATAAAAGCAGCAAACAAGTGTCTCCTTTTACAGACATATTTGGCAATTAGATGGTTCAAAACAAAGCAATTATCAATGATAGATCAGTTTTGTCTAAAACCTGCTTGTTCTTCCACAAGAATGCGTTTTTCATCTACCCAGCTTTCAACTCTGCTCAAGAGGAAACTAAAATATATTTTGGCAATGATATCAATTAAGCTAATGGGCCTCTAATTACTAGGGTCTTTTTTATTCCCTTTTTTATATATGGGGACCACTATTGCCATCTTCCACCCAGCTAGAATATGGCAGGTGTTATTTATATGTGTAAATAGACCTGCCAATAGAGGGCCCCACCAGTCGGGGAATTTTTGAATAATTCAGCTGGTAGAAAATCCTCCCCGGGTGCATTATTACTCTTTAGGCCATTTATAATGGACTGTATCTCTTTTTCTGAGACTGGTGGCCAAGAGGGAGAGGCTTCAATAGATGGTAAATCATTACTTAAGGACTGTTTCTCTGCAGATTCCATTAAAGCAAACAAATGTCAGTAATAATTCTCCCAGTCCTCAGCAGAGATTGATATATCAAATACAAATCTCCGTTCCTTTAGGATTCCTGCTTCTTGGCCTTTTGGCTAAGATCAAGTGTAGTATAACTAATAAAAGACTAGTTGCATCATATTTCTTTGGATCCAACTTGAATCTGGAATGAACTTTTTTTTCCATGTTGTAAGATGCTAAAATTCTCTCCTTGTGTGCACATACATACATACCCACAAAATGGGAATAATCAAAGGTTTCATTCTGGGTATCATAAAGATCAGCATCTTCTTTTCTTCCAGAATTCCATCATAACTGAAGTGATTCTCAAGTTTGTTAGAGATGTAATATTGGCCACGATCAGTACCAAGAACAACTCACACACACAGGTAGTCCTTGCTTAACAATTGCTCATTTAGCGACCATTCAATGATGGCGCTAAAAAGATGACTTGCGACCAGTGCCAAAGTTACAACCATCACAGTGCCCCCACAGTCACATGATCGCGATCCGGATGCTTGGCAACTAGCTTGCACTTACGATGTTTGCAGCATCCCAGCATCATGTGATCGCTATTTGCAACCTTCCCAGCTGGCTTCTGGCAAGCAAACTCAATGCGGAACCACATGATTCACTTAACAACTATGTGATTCACTTAATGGCCATGGAGATTTGCTTAACGATGCTGCAAAAAAGGTCGTAAAATCGGGTCCAGTCATCTGATTTGCTTAATGACTGCATCACTTAGTGATCTAAATTCCAGTCCCAATTATGGTCGTTAAGCAAGGACTACCTGTACCTTTTTCTGTCATGTACAATTACTCCAATGAATTTGTGTCTTTTGCTTATATGGATTCCAAGATGGACTGGGACCTGGTGGCATTTTTCTGCAGTTGAATTACCAGCAGAATTTTCAATGTCAGTGATCTCCTAATTGCAGTATTTATAAAATTATTGATTTAATTGAATTACCTTTGAATATGTCTCTGTGTGTGTGTGTGTGTGTGTGTGTGTGTGTAAATAACCAGACGCTTGCAGAGACTGTTGGCACAGAGAGTACAATTCAATAAGCACAAGGAGATTAGAAATTATCTTGGCTAGGTCCCAATTGTTGGTTTAATTTCTTATTTTAATATCTATCTACCCGACACGTCATCACAAGATTTTTTGAAGGACTGAATATAAGGGAGCTAACACAACAAAGCCAAGCACATAGAAATTCTGCAACTATAATCTTTAGACTTTCATGCCTACTTTTTTTCCTAAACAACTCTTCAGGTAAATTGGACCTAAAATCAATCAACTTTATGGATAATCCACGTGCACATGAACTTTGTCGTATATTGCTTATGGAAATAGTACTTAATTTCAAATAGCTAATTTACCAAGAACTTCAGAACTTCAAGACAAGGAAGATAACCAAAATTATAATTAAATATATATATTGATAAATCAAGAGATATCAAATCAAATTTTCAATACTTAACTTTTTAAAAAGTAACACATATGGTGTTATGTAATTAACTGCTACATTTTTTTCAGTATTGCACAGTAAAGAGAAATAACAGATCCAGACATTAAACTTGTCTCAGATTCACATTTTCAGATCATAAGTTTGCTTCTATCCATTTCTGTATCAGTTTGAGAGCTTGATAAAAAATAAGCATAAAAATGTGTACACTGTTTTTTGTGGGCATCTCCCCAAATATATGCACCTTCCTAGTGCATGTATTTTTAAAATACATTATTATATATTTTTGTGAGTACTCATTCTTACTATACACATTTTTATTTGTCTTTGCCCTTAATATCCACCATGCTTAAGTGGAAAACCATGTCACTAAATTGCAAAATGTATTGCATTTCAGTTAGCATGGAAATTTGAGAAAATACCAATCATAAAGGTTTGCAAAATTAACATAATTTTTTTGGGGGGGAGTTGTATTTGAGGCAGGGTTGTTGCTTGTTTGCATCAGATATCAACTTTAAAAAATCTGCATCACAAGTAAATAATGAAGGGGAAGTCTGATGCGCTGACATACCACTATTTTGAAAACTGTTCCATAATATTTATATAGCGCTTTCTAATCTTTAAAGGGCTTCATATGCATTATTAAGAAGTAGTCCTGATTTGCAGCTCAGCTTAGCCCCAACATCAGCTTATGCTAAACAAATATAGATATTATCAGGCAATTATAAACAAACATATTCCTGAATGTGAATCATGATAATCTGAGAGCTAATGTAAATGTAATGTAAAGGTGAATATTTTGATTCTTAAAATTAAAAGAAGCAGATGATTAGGAAATGGCCCATTTGAAAGTCTTTGCAGATTCAGTGACCTGAGGATATCAACAAACACCTATAATGTTTTCTCGGTTTTCTATAAATCAGATCCAGTGGAAATTCATGAACGACTGAGCAGCCAGTTAATCTTCCCTCCATTACTTTGCAAATTAATCAATTGCCACTTCAAGTTTAAGACTCCTAGTTACGGATTCTATAATCAGGAATCTGTAGAAAGAGAAAACAAGTGAAATCACATCAGTAATTTTCTTTCAATTGTCAGAGGAGACATTTGGAATGCAGAAAGGATTGAAGAACATTGCAGGCTTTCAGAGCCAAGCTGCTTTGTTTCATCACATTAAAAGAACTATAATCTAATACAGTGTTTCTCAATCTTGGCAACTTTAAGATGTGTGGACTTCAACTCCCAGAATTCCCCAGCCAGGATGGAATTCTGGGGGTTGAAGTCCACACATCTTAAAGTTGCCAAGGTTCAAAAACACTGATCTAATAGAATAATGAAGAAGACCATCTTTACCGGCAATCATCATACACATCAAAGTAATGCTGGCTGGTTTGCAAATTGCTATTCTTAGTATTTGTCCTGCTTGGTCACAGGGTCCACATGTTTTGCATTGTGCTTGCACAGTTCTTGCAGTAAAGCTATCAATGTGATAATGGGAGGGGGGTATTTGTTTTTCAGCTGGCTTGCTGCAGACCCTGATGTGGATTACAGCTGAGAGGGAGGGACTGGCCAAAGGTCACCCAGTTGGCTTCCATGCCTAAGAGAGAACTAAAACCTGAGTCTTCTCACTCATAGTCCAACACCTTAATCACTACACTATGCTGGTTCTCACTGCTTTTCAAATAAAGAGAGAGAGAGAGTGTGTGTGTGTTTTAAGTTTATTCCAACTCTATGGTTTTCAGCATGATACCCCCAGAGGTCTATATGATGCACGTCATGCTATTTGCTTCTTTTTGGGTCTCTTGATCTTTTGTTTTTAATTAACAAAAATGGTCTTCCCAGACAGATGCTACTCTGCACTCATATGTCTTCAGCTCATATAAGAGCAGAATTGGTTTGTTGCTATAGAACTGTTCTCATCATTATAGTTTCCACAAGGTAAATTTTGAATAATGGCTAACAAGTAACAGTGTTAGCAACGTGATAAAAGCCATGGTAGATTAGATAAAAGGTTTATCAAATTCAGCATTTTGTTCTGTTATTGGATTCTCACAGATGAAGATGTCTTTGGGAATCCCACTAACATTCTTCCAATCATGTTCCTAGCCATTGGTATTCAGAAGTATACTGCCATTAAAACTGAAAATAATTGCATAGTTATAATGGCTAGTAGCTATACATGGAATTGGGCAGAAAAAATTAAATGGTGATACTAAGCAGTACCCAAACAATCAGTAAAGGTTAATCAGCAACGCTGATTAGGAAGAAAGTGAAATTAAATATCTATAGGCAAATAAAAGCAATTGTACATATTGATGAAATAAATGTGCTATAGTTTTTCAAGTTATTTGTCCAAACGAATATCAGAATGATAAAAAATACTATTTTTGCTGAAGATATAGAGGAATTATAAGAAATTAATAAAATACTACGTGCATTATCAGGTGAGTATAGTATGAAGTGACTTACCGCTGCTTTCAGAGCTTGGTCCAAATCTTCTAGTAAATCTTCCGAGTCTTCCAATCCAATAGATATGCGAATCAACGTATCTGATATTCCAAGGGCCTCTCGGTCTGCCTTTGGAACTGAGGCATGAGTCATGATTGCACTGGAGAAGAACAAATAGTCTGTGAGCGGAGAATTATAAATAAGGGAAACACAGCAGCTAGCACCAGTAATTAAATGTAGCAAAAAGTGAGGTACTGGCTTCTACTATCAATCCATTTGCAAAATGCCAGTGTTTTTCTTTTGCTGAAATCAGATAGAACTCAGGTCACATTCATGGGCTGGCATTCTGGAACATTGTTTTATTACTTTATAATTGTTTTATTGTTTTATAGCATTGTTTTTTTTGTGGTTGTTTTATAGTTACTGGTTTTTACTGTTGTGAGCAGCCCAGAGTTGTTTAAGATGGGCGGCCATATAAAACTTTTAAATAAATAAATAAATAAAAATAAACATCCCCCAGCTGCACTGGGATACAGCCTCCACAATTCCTAGCTACTCCCTAAACATCTGGAAGGCAGCCAATTGGGAAAGGAGAACACCAAATTACATTGTCTGAAATATGCTGCAAACATTTTAGGCTATTGAGGGCAGGGGAACTATTCTTTCAATAGTAAGCAATTTCTACAGAACAGCTGTCAGGAGAATCTTAACAGTACCATGCTGCATTTGAAATCAAAGACATACTGTATGTGAATGTGCTAAACTCAGGGATTAAAAAGTAGGTTTCTAATCTTGAGGATACTGATAGAAATAATGATTTATGGGATGAAGAAGAAGAAATCCCAGTTTAAAATAAGGTTATATTTATTCAATTTCAGTACTTAAAAGTGAATAAAAACATAAGGGTTGAGGAGAAGTAAACCGTTTCAAATTAAGCTGCATATGAAAAACAATTTCAGATCTTCCTAAAAAGAATCCAAATTATATTCCATCCATTAAAAGCAGCGTTCCAGTGTTTCCACCATTTTCTGATGGTAGAATCAATTTTGGGGCATCTGGTTCAAAAGAGACCACAAGTAACCCGATTCTCTAAATACAATTAATAAAAATGAAAATAAAGGGAAGCCTCACACAATTTCCAGTCGAAAAGGAACATTATTTTATTTTATTTTCTTCAAATACTTTAAAGAAAGAAAGAAAAAAGACTTGAGGCTTTAATCTCTCATATTGATCTCTAGATGTATTTGAGATGTGTGAGTTTAAGACGTTTTGTTGAGCAACAGCATTCATATCTAAAACAGCCCAAATTTACATACATTTTCTCCAACATGGTCAACAGGAGGGGCCTGTTTTGTTATCCATAGGACACTGAATATTAAAAGAAGATTCTCACAATCCTTAATATTTTTTCTAACCACTGTATAACATTTCCTCCGAGTCAGGTACGTGCTACTGTCAGGCTGTATTTACATTTATATAAAGTTTCCATTTGTTCTTTATTTCTTTGTTTATTATTGAAAAGGGGGGAAAAACACATAGAAAGTGCTTTAACAAAAAAGTGAAAGAAATATAGCAAAAAAACCCTATGCTGATATGTTATTATAACAGTAAACAATAAACTTTCCCATTTGTATGATGCCTACAGATATTATATTTAGCTTATAGGTGCAGTTAGTTTTTTGAAATCAATATGCCTTCCCCTGTAAACAGTTAAAACAGTGGCTTGTCTATTAATTAACAGTATTTTTATATAGTCTATATCATCAGACACCAAGTGATGTTCAAAAATATAAAATTAACATTACCCATACAATAAACCTCATAAAACCTACCCTCAAATCAGAGTGAAATAACCCCCAAAACATACAAAAAACAAACAGTGTCTTCATAAGATCAGTTTATGTAATGGATGGCATGAGCGGGGAAGATTCTGGAATGGAGCTTCAAGGTTGTCAGGAGGGG